AAGATACTGTGTCCTTGAGACTGATTTTAGGATTACTGCCTTCCAGGAAAGGTGTTAATCTTGCAGGCAGGCCTTGTCTCTAGTGCCATGCAGGACAGGTAGGAGATTCTGCTGCCTTCCAGGAACACTAGCCCTAAAGCATTTCAGGAGGGTGGGGAGGGGATTGCTGTGACCATGCCATTTGGTCTCTGGCTTGCTTTCTATCACTAGCTGTCCTCCCAGGATGGCTATACCCTTCTCAGGGTCATGAGGATTTACAGGAGTATGGAAAGGGGGTTGCTGTGATCATGCAATTTGGTTCTGGCCTTCTTTCATTCTCTACTGGTCTCCAAAACAGCTGTACTTTTTTTCAGGGTCCAGAGGATTTCTCTCCACATAATCCTAAAGGAAAGGCAAGAGAATTACTTTAAGCCAGTAAGTTGAGACCACCCTTGCAACATAACAAGATTCCCATCTTTTTTAAAAAAATATTTTTTTTGTTTTTTGAGACAGAGTCTCACTCTGTTGCCCATGCTAGAGTGCTGTGGCATCAGCCTAGCTCCAAGCAACCTCAGACTGCTCAGTTCAAGTGATCCACATGCCTCAGCCTCCAGAGAGGCTGGTACTACAGGCCCCTCAAAGATCCCTGTATAATTTTTGTAATTTCAGTAGAGATAGGTCTCAGTCTTGCTCAGGCTGATTTCTAACTCCAGAGCTCAAGGGATCCTCCCACATTTGTAGAGGATGCCAAGAGACAGAAGACCTCCGAGTAAGATGATTTGCAGCTGAAGGGCAGAACCTGTGGCAATTTATCCACAGGTGTTCCTTGGAGAAAGAGCCAGAGCCCCTGGCAATTCTTAGGCATGTACTCATTATCTAATACCCCCCTCACCTGTCTTGTACTGTCTCAATAAAAGGCTACTGTGGAGGTTGCTAAGGGCTACCCTGCAATCAAGGTTAGCCCACCTCCTGCAAGCTTGTACTTCTAATCCAGTCAGGCCTGTTTCCTTCCTGCTGTGATCAAAACCAGGGCCATAGGGGCTGCAACACCTGGCATATCCAGCAGGATCCAGCAGGACACAACAGGACACTGAGGACATGGATGGAAGGGGAAAGGGACATTTGGAAGTAAGTGAAACGTTTGGCAGACAGTGGGAGGAAGTCCAAAGGGAAACTCTGCTCAGGGAAATGGAACTTTTGGCCAATCTAGAATCTAGGGAACCTCGCTTGGAATAAGTGAGGTCTTTGGTAAATAAGCAAAGACATTTAGAGAAAACAATGGGTAACTTCCTGTTTGGGGAGTCTTGAGAATTAGAAACTGAGGAAGAAGTTGATGTTCAAACAGAATTTGAAAGTGAGGAGAATAGTCAGGTTCAGTGGGAATCTGGACCTAAGGAGAACTGAGAATCAAGAGCATATGATACAGACACAAATAAGCAAGGAATTACCTCTGTGGCCAATATGGCTGCTCAGATCAAACAATTGGAAGACTGGGTAAATAGTCTAACAGTCGGAAATAACAACTTAGAGCACCCATTATTGCCCTCAGTGCCTCCCTATGTAAATGAACCACCTGTGACTTCTGTTATGAAGGCTGTGTTAGAAGGGCATAAAACCAGTGACTTTAAGTGGGAAGACACTTTGGGGCTTTTTCTGGTTACATTCACTGATATTCCTCCTGATATGCAACACCCTCAAGGGGGCCAATGTTTTGATCACCATATGATCACCTTTGTGGTTCTGAAAGATTTGAAATAGCCATAACACAGTATGGTATGCAATCTCCGTTTTCTAGAGGTCTGTTACAGGGGCTTGCACAAGAGCAGTGGCTCATTCCTTATGACTGGGACATGATAGCCAGAACTGTTCTTGAGTTTAGACAGTATTCTTACCTCCTGGTGGAAGGAGGCTGACCTGATGAGTCACCAGAACCAGCAGAGAGGAGTCCCTATAACATCAGAATAGCTCACCAGGTCTGGTCAGTGGGTAGAGATTCTGAATCAACTTCAGTATGATGACATAGCCATAGTCCAGACAAGGCTGTGTTGTCTTAGGGCCTGGGAAAAGGTTCAGGCTCCTGGAGATATCTCTAAGTCTTTTATTAAAATAATGCAGTCAGGGAACAAACCTTATACTGACTTTCTAGCCTGATTAAAAATTGCAGTCTATAAGTCCATTGCCCAGCTGGTGCTCAGAGACATGCTTTTCCAAACTTTAGCATTTGAGAATGCTGACTCTGAGTGTCAAAAGGCCTTGTGACCTGTGAGAGCACAAAATGCTTCCTTACAGGAATATACATGGGCATGTGCTGACACAGGAATGGAATCCCAAAAGGCTAATTTACTTGCTGCTGCTTTAAAAGCGGGGGCCAGTGTCCTAGGTGTCATAACTGGAAAATTGGTGATACAGAACAAGTGGCATTCCAGCCAGCTTGTGGAGCTGGGGGGGAAGACCAGCTGCCTCCATCTTGGTGGTGTTGATGCGGTGGCAGGGAGCAGAGGAACCAGTGGGCTAGATAGTAGGCAGAGGGGCCCTGTAGAAGGCCCCAGTAGTCGGAGGGGCCAGACAGCTGCTGGGGAGACACCAGCACCTTAGGCCAAACAGGGAACTCCCCATTTTCTAGACCTGGTCAATTTCATGTAAGTTTCCTAGGCCTGGGAATGAAAGGGATTGTAGCCATTAATTTGTGACCCAGACATGTTCCAGACATGATGTAGACATGTCCCAGACACACTAAATATAACTACCAAGTGTGCTAAATGTAACTACTGAGGGCCAGACATGTCCCAGACACGTTATTCCAGACATATCCCAGACAGGATGTCCCAGACAGGATGTCCCAGACATGCTAAATGTAACTACCAAGCCCCATGCCACTATATATACCCCTAGACAGAGCCTAGAGAGAGACAGAGAGAGAGCTTTTCTCTCCTGACTTGGGTTTTTGCTCTCTGCCAGGAACTCTGGCACTTCTGAATTCTTTTCTGTAAATAAATCCTGTCTTACCACTGATCTGTGGTGTATGGATTCATTCTTCCAATCACTGAGACCAAGAACCTACTGAAGAGTGAAATTCCAGTATCATGTGTGGGGGCTCAACTGGGATTGATGATCTGTGGAAAGCAATGGGACCACTTACCTCTATCCTGCTTTTCTCTATAGTTATAATAATGGAAACTAATAATTTAGATGCCCATCAGTCAGTAAATGTGCATAGTGTGGCTGCTGACCTCCAGGTCACAGCAAGAGGCTGTTGGGGAATGAACTTTCTAATTCTCCAGAAATTGGCTCCAGAAAGGAGTCAAAGGAATGTTAGAAGACTTTTGAAACTGTTCTATATTTACTCCTTTTCTCTGGTTGAAAGCCGAGCAAAGAGGTAGCACCCAGAGGCCCTGGGGTCCCCAGCAATGGTTCTGACCCCAGGAAACAGGGTGGGGGGGGGTCTTTGGAAAATCATGCTCTCCCAACTCTAACTATCCTCTCTTCTCTTCCATGGTCCCAAACTTTTCCTATTTATCTCTATAATCTCTATAGACCTCTTCTGCTTCTCTCTCTCTCCTTGTAGTTTACAGCTTTTTTTGAATGTTGGTAAAGGATTGCTTTATTTAGTTAAGTTTGTATGGCCTCATTCTGGTATTTTTCTTGTGTTTTAAGTGTGTCTCAAGTGTTGTAGGGGTGTTGTAAGGTCATTTTTATTGCCTTTAATTGCAAAATTAAATTCAATTGGTGTTTTCATGTATCTGAGAAAAAAGGCTAAACCATGTTAACTACAAGTCAGCTCCAAAAAAAGGGCAAAAAGACTCCCTTATATGGCTTCTCTGAGCAACTAGAGGTCTGTGGAGGGAAGCAACTCCCCACAGCAAGAATGGCCATAAACCATGAAGAAATGATTTATTGGTGTGTGTAAATGGAAAAGTTTAAAATAATTCCAGGTGTCTTTAAGACTTCAACTAATTGTAATGCAAAACTTTCAAAATGTCTCTCAACTCAGATTTGTCACGAAGTAATTATTGTTGCCTGGCTAACTTTTGGGAATGAAAAGGGAGGTTGGAAAACATAGCATTTAAGACTTCCTATTTTCCTTTCTTACTGGGAATTTAAAAGAAGCATGTAAAGATTATATAGAGTTAAATGTGCAAACACTGCATAGCCATTTTCTCCAGAATGGAGATCATCCCCACTTTATTGATACTCACGGAGCTGGGCGGGGAAGGGGTAGAAAGGGACAGAATATGCATTAGGTGGGACCAGGCTCCCTGATACCTGATTTCTTGGGCTGTGCTGCCAGCATGTTATAAGCACAGGAGAACCAGCAGGTACTAAGTGCTACACTGGTAAGAGTGGCTAATTCCAGACAAGCTCCAGGGCTGAGGATGCCACTGTCCTCAGGGATTCGTCCCCAAGCATTGGAAGGATGCTTCCTTTTGTTTGGCTGGAAGGCTTCTTGGGTTGGTCAGAGGACACTTTGACAACACAGGAATATGGGGTGGGAAAACAGTCATCAGGTGGGACCAGGCTCCCAGATACCTGATTTTTCAGCCTATGCTGCCGGAACACTCTGCTGGGCTGTATTCTGAAGCACTGGGACATGTTTGATCCCCAGAGGCTGAAAAAAGAATGTATGCACCCAGGTCTGGCCTCAGTATCAACTCTCCACTGGTGAACAATGGCCTCCAGAAGGTACTCTTAATTATGACACCATTTTTCAGTTAGATACTTTTTGTAAGCAAGAATAAAAGTGGTCTGGATCTTTCTCCCTCTCAGAACCTCCCTGTCGGCGCATTCAGACCTCGCTGCTCCAGCTTTTGGGGCACATTCCATTCTTTTAGCCTGCAACCAGCAGA